AGTAAAGGCAAAGCTCTGCCAAAATGTTGCAACTAATCAGATCATCAATTTCTTTCACTCTGCATGGCAAACAGTTTTGGCCTCTTTTACTGGAGCCACTCCCCCAAATCACCAACTCTATTTAAAATTCATTTTTTAAAAAAACTTTGTTTTCATCAAGTCAGTGTCCTGAAAAATCTGTGCGCACGAAACTCAAGCGTTATTTTAAGCATTTTAATTTTCCTTCTGCAAGGGAAAACCACAATAATCCATTTTTTAAATAAATAAAAAATCATTAAAGGGAAATCAAATTTCTAATAGGCACATTAAAAAGATTTATTCATCTGTGAAGAGATTAAGTTCCAAGCCTGATTCATATTTCATTTTCTTTTTACCATTGACTCAACAATTTTATGGTGCTGGGAGCCGAATCTTATGTGACGATGGTTTTGTTTAACACCCCTGCATAACTTAAAACATTTGATTTTTGTAAATACTCAAGAGAATCAAGAAAGATTGGAAGTGTCACAGTCAGCAACAATGAAGTAGTGATGCGAATTCAACCAACGTGCCCCTTCGCCTAAATGTGAAGTGACAGTAGATTGTGATACCTGAAGCCAAACTATTCTGTGTGTGTGTGTGTGTGTGTGTGTGTGTGTGTCATACATTTGTGCCTTGCCTCCCCAATTAAGCAGATCCAGTTATTAGGAAGAATTTGGCACAATAGGGATAATGATAATGCTCAGAATCTAGTGTTCAAAGTGCTTCACAAACATTATCTTTTTGTGTAATCCTGTAAGGTCTGTTGTAGCTAATTATCTGCATATTGCAGATGTGGCGCTGAGAAAAGCCATCTAGGCTGGTTTGATCCCGTTCTCTAACGAGATGAGGAACTGAAATGGCACCGAACTTCCTGTATATGTCAACAAAAGGTTATGGAGAGCAGGAAAAGAGTTCCAAGTCTGAGTCATATTCCCTTTTCTCTCTACCCAGCGGAGGAGCCCAGGGCGGGTGCGCTCCCAAGGGGGGCAGGGCACGGAGGGTGCCCTCCTACGTGCCACAGTTCGGGGTAGGAGAGGGGCAGAGAAGCTGCTGCTCACTTTCCTCCTGGTCTCCACAGCTGGGTCAGACATGACCCGGCAATGGAACTGCTGCGGCCGGTGGCGCCTCACCACAACTGAGGAGGGCTTTTCTCTACCACCGGGTCAGAAGAGCCGCTGCTACCGGACGCAAGGTGTGCCACCCACTCGCCTGCCATTTTGTCACCTACCTCTCAGTCATGACACCCGGGGCAGACCGCACCCACCCCACCCCCCTTCCTACGCCTGTTTCTCTACCGTATACAGTGGACGCTCGGGTTGCGAACGTGATCTGTGTGGGAGGCGTGTTCGCAACCCACAGCACCGCACGGGTTGCGATTCGGTGCTTCTGCGCATGCGCAAAGTGCAATGTAGTGCTTCTGCGCATGCGCGGCCGCCGAAACCCGGAAGTAACCCGTTCCGGTACTTCCAGGTTTCAGCAAATCCGTAACCCAAAAAAACCCAACCTGAAGCGTCTGTAACCTGAGGTATGACTGTAGTTATAGTGATCCAAAGTTTGAGAGAATAGGCTGGGCTTTTTTTTTTCTTTTCTTTTTTTGTAACCCTCCGGCATAACTTAAATTTGATTTTTGTAAATATTCAATTGAACTTGTCACATTCACTGGTGATGTAACAATAGTGCCAATTCAATAAGCGGACCCCTAATCTAGACAATGTAAGGAAAGGTGCAGTACTCACAAGCGTACCATTGTTTTATTCTGTGTCTGCCCTGCCTCCCCTATTAAGCAGATCAGTTATTATGGATAATAATGGAGCTAATGATAGTGTTCAAAGTGCTTCAAATACGTTATGTTTGTGCCTGATCCTGCGAGGGTTTCTGTTTTAAACTAATTATCTACATATTACAGGCATGGGGCTTAGAGACGCCACCTAGTGGGGAGGGCTGCACATTTATTTTTTAAATGAATGAAACGTCGTCGAGATAAGCCCCATTTTTTTGTTTCCTGAAGCTATAAAAGCAAATGGGAATTCGTTCAGTTGAACAAGTTCTGAATGGGGGTGGGGTGGGGAAATCCATTCATTTCTCATATATTTCATTTGTTTGCTTTGGTCCTCGTTTGTCTCTGCTGAGTTGAAACGTTTAAAGACTCTGGAACAGCCTGCACAGGTCACTGTAAAAGTTACAGTGAGGAAAAGGAAAGTATTATATGAATTATTATTAGTAGATGCACCAGAAGGTCCCAAGGAGGGTCACAGCAATGTAAAATACAGCATTAAAAACAGTTTAAAACAAATTACAGCGGTAGAGTTTAGATATAAAATGTAGACCGTGGGTTGTATTGGACTGTGTCCTACTCAGAGAGTAGATCCACTGAAATGAATGAACCTAAGTTAACCATGTATATCAGGCACAATCAAACTCCTGCCCGCCGGAGTTTGGGACTACAATTCTCATCATCCCTGACCACTGGTCCTGTTAGCTAGGGATGATGAGAATTGTAGTCCCAAACATCTGGAGGGCCAGAGTTTGCCTATGTATATTAACTTCAATAGGTCTACTACCGTATTGGCCTGAATATAAGCATCACCTTTTTTTTCTCCAAATTCTGACTGCGAAAAGTTAAAGTGCAGCTTAAATTCGCAACCTTACAAAAACTGGCTTTTACGATATTGCTGCTGAAACAGACATACGGTAAAACCTGTGGAATTTTAAGGGAGCGGCTTATATTCGGGTATTGTCTTTTTCTCTTCCCTCCCCCCTTGAATTTCAAAGGTGCGGCTTATATTTGGGTGCGGCTTATATTCGGGCCAATATGGTATATGAAGTACTAGCACTGAATAAAACTCCCTTTGTCCTATCTATCTGAAATCTGGCAGATCTGGTCTTTTGCTGGGGTGCTATAACGCCTGGGAAATAGGTGCTAATAGGATGCAAAAGACATGTGTTAAAGGACAAGGAACATCTGAAAGCAATAGGAAGTTTACAGTAGGTGTGCCATTTTAGGTTGTCTTTCTATTTTGAAATTTGAAGTCTTTCAGAAGCGGAATACCTGCCGTTTGCATGCTTTTTGGATGGAAAGCACTGAAGTTATAAGTAGCAGAAGACCAGCTGAGTCTTCCACTGAAATCAATGGAAAATGGAAATGAAATCATTACTAACCCCACATTTGCCCACTCCACTACTTTGACTGGCACAATTGCCACTACTACTTGTAAGAACCTGATATTTTAGTGTGGCAGCGCCTTGACTTTGGAACTCCCTAACTATTGATACCAAATATTGATACCAAGTATTGATATTCTTTTCAGCGCTCTGTACTCTTTAGACAGGCCTACCCAGATGCTTAGAAAGTCAAGGTAATTTTTATCTGCTTTAGTATCTTAACCAGGCTTCCTCAACCTCGGCCCTCCAGATGTTTTTGGCCTACAACTCCCATGATCCCTAGCTAGCAGGACCAGTGGTCAGGGATGATGCGAATTGTAGTCTCAAAACATCTAGAGGGCCTAGGTTGATGAAGCCTGATCTTAACTTTCATATGTTTTTGTGTATGGTTGTCATTTTTTTCTGGATTTTATTGTTTTACCTTTTTGTAAACCAATTTGAGGATGTGTTTTGGGGGCGGGGGTTTACAGTCAGGTGGTGTATAAATTTTATGAAATAAATGAGTAATTTCAAATCTATTGTGATGAACAAAACAGATTTTAAAACTTAAATGATGAAAAGGTAAAGGTAAAGGGACCCCTGACCATTATGTCCAGTCATGACCGACTCTGGGGTTGCAGCTCTCATCTTGCTTTATTGGCCGAGGGAGCCGGCGTACAGCTTCCGGGTCATGTGGCCAGCATGACTAAGCTGCTTCTGGCGAACCAGAGCAGCGCACGGAAATGCCGTTTACCTTCCCGCCAGAGCGGTACCTATTTATCTATTTGCACTTTGACGTGCTTTTGAACTGCTATGTTGGCAGGAGCAGGGACCGAGCAACGGGAGCTCACCCCGTCCCGGGGATTCAAACCACCGACCTTCTGATCGGCAAGTCCTAGGCTCTGTGGTTTAACCCACAGCGCCACCCGCATCCCTGTAAATGATGAACATGCATGCATTTATGTAATGGGGTGTGTATGGCTGTCCAGTTGTTGCTACACTCCAACTCCCAGCAGTCCCACTCTGCATGGTCAAGGGTCAGGGATGATGGGAAATGGCCACAGATTCCCCATTCCTGATGAAGCATTCACACTAAGAGATTGAGCTACCAGTCAGCAAGGTTCAAATCTTGATTTGCCATGGCTAGCTTTAAGGAACCTGAGCTCCAGAAACGTATCTCCAGCAGTGGTATACTTACCCTCATATGGTTATTGGAAGGCTTAATGAACTCATATATCTGAATTACTGAAACTCTTACAAATGCTTAAGCACTATTATGAAGTGGGCTAGAAAGGAACTGGGCTCGATTTATGGGCAGCCAACAAAACGGGACTGTTTTGAAAAGCTGCAAGTCTGCACTTTCCAAATAAATAAATCATATTGATTGAAGGCGCATGCAGAGGGGAGGGAGCTATTCAGATTTATTGTGAGGCTTGGAAGGAGGACAGACATTCAGGCACGATCCTTTTATCTTTCCAATCCCAAGTGAAAGCACTTCTAACAGAATTCTCTAATGAATTGAAAAGTGGGCATGGAAGAGCATAACAGAGCTGTCTCTACATGAAAAGGCACGAATGGGGTGCTGAGGCTTCTCTTAGTGTCAGATGATCGATGCAATCCTATGCGTGTTTCCTCAGTTGCACCTCAATGAGGCCTAGTTCCTATTCAGAGTTGCACCTTAGATGAGAGAGGCCTGGGCTTTAATCGCTGAACCACTTTGAACCTCACAGGGTGATCTTGCATCTCCCACAGATCCTCCAAGTGTCCCAGTTTTCCAGGCACAGTACAGAAGCCATCCCGGTTTCTGATTTGATCCTGTAATGTCCCGCTTTTCCTTAGGATAGCTCAGCTGGTTAGAGCATGGTGCTGATGATGTCAAGATTGCAGGTTCGATCCCTGTATGGGGCAGCAGCATATTCCTACACTGCAGGGGGTTGGGCGAGATGATCCTCAGGGTCCCTTCTAAGTCTACAATTCTATGATTTCTGTGATTTCTATGTCCCTAATTTCATAAGAGATATGTTGAAATGTATGGCAGGGTGTCCCTATTTTCATCAGAGAAATGTTGGAGGGTATGGAGTTATGTGACCTCTGGGCCAAGGAGGTAAGTCACTATACAACCTTTAGAAGACATGTGAAGGCAGTCATTTATAGGATAGTTTTTTAAAGAAGAAAAAAATTAACAATTTATTATGTTTTTGGAAGCCTCCCAGAGTGACTAGGGAACCCAGTCAGATGGGTGGGGTATAAATGTTGTTGTTGTTGTTGTTGTTGTTGTTGTTGTTGTTCTTCTTCTTCTTCTTCTTCTTCTTCTTCCTCTTCCTCTTCCTCTTCTTCTTCTTCTTCTTCCTCTTCCTCTTCCTCTTCTTCTTCTTCTTCTATAGGACACCCCTATTTTCATCAGAGAAAGGTTGGGGGGTTATTGTGAAGATAAAATGGAGAAATCTTGTAGTCAATCTTGGTCCAGCTCCGAGGGCCTTCTGGCGGTTCCCTCACTGTGGGAAGTGAGGTTACAGGGAACCAGGCAGAGGGTCTTCTTGGTGGTGGCGCCCAGCCTGTGGAATGCCCTCCCATCAGATGTCAAGGAAATAAACTATCTGATTTTTAGAAGACATCTGAAGGCAGTCCTGTTTAGGGACGTTTTTAATGTTTGATGTTTTATTCTGTTTTTAATCTGTTGGGAGCCATCCAGAGTGGCTGAGGAAACCCAGCCAGATGAGTGGGGTATAAATAAATTCCTCTTCTTCTTCTTTTTCTTCTTCGAGAAAGGGTGAGATACAGACATGAGATTGTAACATAGACTTCAGCACCGCATTACAGGACAAGAGAAGCCTGTCAACCCAGCAGACCTGATATCTATTTTCCCCAAACCCATGGACCAGCTTTGGCAGGTGGGCTGAACCAACCACCTGCCAATCTTCTGCAGTCATAATGATGGTATGTGATTGATACTTGTCAAAGTTAGCCTGCAGGGGGAGAAGATAGTTCAACAGGCTAGCACAATGAAACCCTATGCATATCTACTCAGAAGCGTCCCACTGAGTTCACTGGGGCTTACTCAGAGGAAAGGCGGTACAAAATTCCAGTCCAAAGATTATTCTCTTAGTTCACTGCTCTGACAATGATTTCTCCCCTTGTTGTCCAGGACATCTGAACACTGGAACCAGCTAAAGTGGAATCTAGTTATATCTACATAATTTCTCAAGAAATAACACATCCCTGGATAAATTTCTCATTCTACCTTCTGGTAAAAATAGAGCCATACGAACTTGAGCCCACCATATGCCTGCAAATAATATAAATAGGACTAAATATACAAATTATGTTCTCAGTCTCATTACACGCCCATCAAGTAGGTGCAGCAATACTGCAGCAGAGATATGCATGAGGAGTGTGCCAAGAAGAAGTTGATAGGTAAACAAGCGACAGGGGCAAACTGTTTTAAAAAGGAAATGGCACATAACTAGAAACAGGGAAGAAATTCAGTTCAGTTCACATTTGAAGGCGAACCTACTTAATTCACACTTTCTGAAACAATACACAAATCGAAACACAGTCATCCTTTGGAATTTGCTAGTCTCTGGGTTTTTCAATGCAGCCCTCCGAACAAGTATACAAAATAGGTGGGACGCGGGTGGCGCTGTGGTCTAAACCACAGAGCCTAGGGCTTGCCAATTGGAAGGTCAGCGGTTTGAATCCCCACGACGGGGTGAGCTCCCGTTGCTCGGTCCCAGCTCCTGCCAACCCAGCAGTTCGAAAGCATGTCAAAGTGCAAGTAGATAAATAGGTACCACTCCAGCAGGAAGGTAAACGGCATTTCCGTGCACTGCTCTGGTTTCGCCAGAAGCGGCTTAGTCATGCTGGCCACATGACCTAGAAAAACTCTGCAGACAAACGTCAGCCAGTAAAGCAAGATGAGCACCGCAACCCCAGAATTGTTCACTACCAGACTTAACTGTTGGGGTCCTTTACCTTTTTAAGTGCGCATAAAAATGTATATATTGGTGTAAATAACATTCAAAGAAGCATTTATTTGCAAAATGCTTTGCATAGCAATTTGTATATATCAGGAGAAGTACATGCTAAGATGCTGAAGATTTTTCACGAGCACTTACAAAATAAAAATAAAACAAAATTGCATATTGATGTGGACATGAAAGGCTGAAAAAAATGAGAAACTAAGAGAACCTGGAACTGACATATTTGCCTGTCCTAAAACATAACCATTGGGGGGGAAACAATTATTTCATATGCAGAAGGAAAGGTGTGTTCATATTCTCTATTTCCCTCCAACCCACTTTCTCCGATTACATATATTATACATGGAATTGTACATGTCTGAACTGCTCATGCACCGCGTCTTCTCATGCCCTATCTGAACTGTGACATATGGGTCTCTCTCCACAGGGACATCGCCGCCATTCAGATGTTATGCAAGATCCAGGAGCTTGAGCCAAGTTGAAACTAAGGCTGGGCTAAGACAGGGCTGAATCCCTCCTCCATGTCCTGAAAATATGCTTCTCCTGCAGAAGCCAGGGGGGATATCTTCTTATTTCTTTGGAGAGGGAGAAATTTCATTGAAATTTTTGGGGGTGGGTTGCTTGCCTCTTCCCTTACCGAGTCTCACCAGGAAGTTTGGCAAGTAGGACAGTATCTGCAGCTGGGAAAACACAGAGGAAGCCTAACTTCCTCTCTGCACTGAATCCAAAGTTTGAGGGTTTTTTGAAGGGGGAAGGGAGTAGCTATCTAATGGGGCAGCAAGATCTGTTGGAATGGAATTCCATTAGCCTGGAATGCTAATGTTGTAAGCCTTCTTGTCTTATGCCCATCCTGCATTTACAGTGATACCTCGGGTTAAGTACTTAATTCGTTCTGGAGGTCCGTTCTTAACCTGAAACTGTTCTTAACCTGAAGTACCACTTTAGCTAATGGGGCCTCACGCTGTTGCCATGCGATTTCTGTTCTCATCCTGAAGCAAAGTTCTTAACCCGAGGTACTATTTCTGGGTTAGCGGAGTCTGTAACCTGAAGCGTCTGTAACCCGAGGTACCACTGTAGGTGCAAATAAAACCATACATCGTAAAGATCCCACCGTCTGCATTGACCTTCTTTCTGAGGGAAACAAACCTCAAGGTATGCTCTGGTACTCCACTGCTTGGAGACTGCTAGGGTCCATTGTGCCCTTGGCAAGGAGGTGTATTGGCACAACCCCCCCCCAACAAAAACACTTCCAGGTGAGGGCGAAGTGAGGAGGAAGAGGGGGAAATGTACACCTTTGTGCCATGGTGCAAGAAGGACAGAAACCATCTCCCACATTTGATTTTTCCATGACCGCACACATAAACATCATACACGCCACACTCTGATAGGTGAATTTTGCGCTGCCTCCTGGGTCTGCCCCTCCAGCAGGGGCAGGTTTTGCCAAACCCTAGGTACACCTCCAGGAGACTGCGATGCGCATAACAATATCTTAGGAAAAAATGAATCGACGTGCGAAAGGCCTTTGCCGTTCTCCTCCGTTCGTCTTGCAGCGCTGAGCATGAAGTAATGGGCTTTGAAGGCTCACACGGAAGGAACGCTTTGGCACATAAGCAGCATAACTACTGTGGTTTTGTTCTAATAATAGAGTTTTGATTGCTCTTTTGAGAAAACATAAATAGCCCTTATTCATTCCGCATGTGTTCAGGAGCAGACGCCAACAATTGGCAAACAAAAGTGGGGGCGGGGGCAGGGATTCAAACAATTCCCGATTTCTTCCTACAAGATTCATCTATTTCACCACTTCCTTAAGGTCTGGACCAACTGCTTTTTGGATGGCACATTTGTTGCGATCACTGGACAAAAGGAAACTTCTATTAGCCAGCTGCTTTCTATTCTGGGAGGTAACATCTGGGCTGGGCTGTAGGGTGGTAGTAAAGGTAAAGGGGACCCCTGACCATTAGGTCCAGTCGTGGCCGACTCTGGGGTTGCGGCACTCATCTCGCTTTATTGACCGAGGGAGCCGGCGTACAGCTTCCGGGTCATGTGGCCAGCATGACGAAGCCGCTTCTGGCGAACCAGAGCAGTGCACAGAAACACCGTTTACCTTCCCGTCGGAGCAGTACCTATTTATCTACTTGCACTTTGAACTGCTAGGTTGGCAGGAGCAGGGAGCGAGCAACGGGAGCTCACCCCGTCACGGGGATTCAAACTGCTGACCTTCTGATCAGCAAGTCCTAGGCTCTGTGGTTTAACCCAAAGCACTATGTAGAAGATCCCAGGTTCAATCTCCAGCATCTTGAGGTAGGGCTGTGATTGTGTCCCCCCTCTGCGAGCAATCCAGGGTTGACTGAGGAGTGAGGCATTGGGTGGAAAGAAGGCGAGATTTCAGAGTGCTATTGGGCTGATTTGAAATAGGACTGCTGTGCTGCGTGTGCCTCTTCCAAGCAGGGGAAGTTGGCCGTTGGAAACAGTGTCCAGGCTGAAACAGCTGAAACATCCGCATGTATGGCAACCCATGCCGGCAGTGTCATTTTTGGCGATTTCCCTAAAAAAAGGCTCAACAACTAAATAAAGTTCAACAACTTTCTTCAGATTTCCACTTGCACATAAATGCATATATTAATGAAATAATAGATAAAAACTCATTAGACTTGGGAAAGCTTAGCAAAAATGTGTATACTAGGCAATCTTGCCTGCAAAGATGTGTATACAAACTTGGGGATACTGTGGCAATGCGTCTACTGGGAAGCCCCACCAGGCAAGTTGCTCCACCCTGCAAGTCAGGATACGCATTTTTTAACAAATGAAACAAGTGGCTTCATTAATCTTAATTTAGACAACAACAAAAGTGTGATTAGCTTAACATGTAGTTTGATCCATAGAGAGATTTATGGACATGCCACGCCAATTTGGTTTTGTTACTTTTAGCTAATACGGTAGATTTCACAGGTGCATTATCAGTTCACGTTTGCCGTGTAAGCTTGACATGATAAATTGTATAAATGTGACAATGTTCTTGTTTTACTCAAGTGGTTTTAAGGCTGTAATGAAACAAGATGAGATTTCTGCGTTTGCCGTGGCTTTTATCCAAAACAAATAAACTCATTCCAAGAGAGACTGAAACCAGCACCAGGTTGCTGCAGTTTTGGCTTTGCTCCCTTCAGGTGGGGTGAGTGCGGGTTACAAACTGCTATGCGTCAATCACAGAATTGTAGAGTTGGAAGGGACCCTGAGGATCATCTAGTCCAACCCCCTGCATTGCAGGAATATGCAGCTGTCCCATACAGGGATCGAACCTGCAACCTTGGCATTATCAGCACCATGCTCTAACCAGCTGAGGAGAGAAGTCTCAGCCCAGAAAGTACCTTAGAGAAGTTCCCGTTCAAAATGTTTAGGAATAAGGTGCTGAAAGGTAAACCAAAACCCCCAGCTTAGATCTTTTCTTTTCTGCTGCACATTGCTTTAGCTCTCCTTAATCGCTATTGTCAATTCATATACCGCTTAGTGCCCAAGCAGGCTTCTAAGTGGTTTACCGGCATAACAATCAATTAAGCATGCATTGACATATACACATCCATAATTAAAATACACAGTAAGACGATCCCATTAAAACAACATTGAGACATCGACTTTCAGAGGCATTATGCCTCTGAACACCAGTCGCTGGGAATTGCAGGTAGGGGAGAGCACTGTTGTTGAAGCTCAGGTCCTGCTTTCAGGCTTCCTATAGAACAGCTCAGTCAGTAGAGTGTGAGATTCTTAATCTCTCAGGGCTGTGGGTTTGAGCCCCACGTTGGGCAAAAGATTCCTGCATTGCAGGGAGTTGGGCTGCAGGACCTTCGTGGTCCCTTCCAATGCTAGAATTCTGTGATTCTACTGTAAGAACATAAGAAGGGTCTGCTGGGTCAGACCAATGGCCAATGTAGTCCAGCATCCTGTTCTCTCAGTGGCCAACCAGATGCTTTTGGGAAATCCTCAAGCAGAACCTGAGCGCAAGAGCACTCTCCTTTCCTGTGGATTACAGCAACAACCAATATTCAGAAGCATGACTGCTCCTGACTCCGGAAACCAAGCGTAGCCATCATGGCTAGCATCCATTTTTAGCCTTATCCTCCATGAATTTATCCTCTCTTGAAACCATCTAAGCTGGTGGCTATCACTACCTCCTATGTGCTGTGTGCATTCCAGGTAGCTTCAAACAAGTTTAGATCCGTGTGTGTGTGTGTGTGTGTGTGTGTGTGTGTAACACAAAAGAACCATGCCATTGTACAGCAGACGAAGACACTCTAAGACTACAGAACAAGGCCCTAGGGCTATCATGTAACAATTGATAATATGGATTAGATCTCAAGAAAATCCTCTAGATATTCAAATGCCTCTGGGTTCATGTTCATAATTAATCATGCATGCACATAAATACCAGAACATTAAATGCAAAATTAAACATACTCAGATAGCTGATGCTTGAAATTTTTTGCTGCTCGTTTCAGCTAGGATTCCCATCTATCACATTGCTCCACCTGCCCACTTCATATTTTGAGCCTTTGCCCCCTGAATGTTTGTTTGTTAATTACATTTATACCCCACTTTTTTCCCAAGCAGCTCAAGGTGGCATGCAGTGGCTTAGAGCACCGCCTGAGCAGTTCTCCTCCAGGTGTTATTTATAGATCATTAAACCCTTCTGTTGTTCTACAGTTGAATGGGTTTTGGATGGTTTCATTGTTAACTGTTTCATATGTTATGATGGTGAACTGTCTTGAGAGCACCATTTTGGGGCAGAAGAGTGGAGTAGCGATTACTACGCAAGCAATAAAATATGTCAAGGATCCATAATGTTTTTCTTCCTTTGTGCTTTTCCTTCCTCCTTCTGTTAACTGCGTTGACAACAATTGCACACTTAATCCACATTGTTGTGCACTAAGTGAAACAGTTTTAGCAGAGAGAGGTTCTATTATTCATTACTGGAATTCTTCTTGTCCATGGGATGGCTCCTTTCTCTTTTGTCACACTGGAGGTGGGCTAAATGTGGAGTAGAATTAAAGGGAGAGATTGCAAACAGAACCTCAGTGATTAATAGTCTCCACCGAGTGTTGACGAATCCTCCATTCTCATGAGTGTTTCAGGGCCGCTGCAGCTACAGTTCCTAAGTGTTTCACTTTCTCTAACACATTTATTCCGTCGGATCCCTTGTGGGGTAAAAAAGAACTATTAATTGCAGCACCAAGAAACAATTGTTCATTCTGTGAAGCTCATCCAGGATTTCCACTGAGAAAAGCCAGATTCCAGGAGATGAATGAATTATGCCCATGAAAACAATTTGCATTTGTTGGTGCACTGTGCATTACTTATTCTGTTTCAAGGTTGCTTTGTTGTTGTTTTCTTTCTTAAATTTAGATTCATTATTTCTTCTTTACACATGTGCAGATATTCGATTAGCTCCTTTAAGAGACAACGCAGGGGGTGTCTGACTTTTGCAGTCTCAATATAGGCAATTTAGGAGAATAATGCAGACCCCATGAGTTGAGGTTAGGTTTATTAAATTTGCGCATCCCATAGATGGGGAGCTACCACAGAGAAGATCCATTGTCTCATTGCCACCCACAGGTTCCTCCTGTTCACTAAACTCTGTTGCCTCTTCAGTATCCATCACCTCCTCCCAATCTTCCCCCTCTGACCTCTCCTTTGCAAAGGCCCTTTTATTTTGGCCTAGTATTTCTACAAGCCATACTTCCTCTATGTGCTTAATTTCTCAGCTCCCCTTCCCTTCTGTTTCTTCATTGTTGTTGTTGTTTAGTCGTTTAGTCGTGTCCGACTCTTCGTGACCCCATGGACCAGAGCACGCAGTCCTCTTTTCCACTGCCTCCCGCAGTTTGGTCAAACTCATGTTGGCACTATCCAACCATCTCGTCCTCTGTCGTCCCCTTCTCCTTGTGCCCTCCATCTTTCCCAACATCAGGGTCTTTTCCAGGGAGTCTTCTCTTCTCATGAGGTGGCCAAAGTATTGGAGCCTCAGCTTCAGGATCTGTCCTTCCAGTGAGCACTCAAGGCTGATTTCCTTCAGAATGGATAGGTTTGATCTTCTTGCAGTCCATGGGACTCTCAAGAGTCTCCTCCAGCACCATAATTCAAAAGCATCAATTCTTCGGCGATCAGCCTTCTTTATGGTCCAGCTTTCACTTCCATACATCACTACTGGGAAAACCATGGCTTTTACTATACGGACCTTTGTTGGCAAGGTGACGTATCTACTTTTTAAGATGCTGTCTAGGTTTCTTCATTACCTTTTGTCAATGGTTCAAGCTTTGAACCGTGGAATTGTAGAGTTGGAAGTGAGTTTTTACTATAAGGACCGCCAGCTGCGGCCGTGCAAAAACTTCAGCAGTGACACTGAATGCTCAGCATGTTGAATTGTCTCTGAGCTGCCCCTTCCTTTATGTATTATTGAGAGCAGGAGATGGGGGAGCTTCAGGCTTTCCTCTCGCATTTGCTTCTGCTTTTTATTCTCTCCCCTGTCTTCACATGTGTTTCCGAAGAACTGTCAGGTGCGTCTCTGCCTTGTGGCATCTTGCAGTGATTGGGGAATGTTGTTTCCCAGTTCGGCAGATGAAAGCTAGACGCAGCAAGTCAAATTTCTCTTCTCGTGGGCTTGTTCCAAATTCTCCCGTTTCTCCCTCCTCGTCTCCACCTGGCATCTCAACGCACTCATACATATCTGCAACTGCTTAGCGTTGAAAACAGGATGAAGTGGGTGGCTGACAGGAGCCACTCTTCTTCCAAATGCCTTTTTACCTCTCTGTTCTACTTCCACTGTTGGGGGTTTTATGCCTCTGACTACCAGTTGCTGGGGACCAAAGCTGAGTGAAAGCTGTCGCACTCATGTCCTGCTTTTGGGCTTCCTTTAGGCCAGGGGTGGGACCAAGGTGTCTTCACCCTCCCAATATTCATTGGGAGGGGCCAGGCCCCCTCAATGTTGAGAGGACTTAGTAGGCTGAGCGCAGAGCCAAGTGTGGCTCAGTCTCAGGGACCAGCTCCTCCTGAATGCGAAAGAGGAGGAACTGCTGACCACTGAAGTCACACAGTGCTCGGCTCCGCATTCTGCCTCCTTCCAATATCACATGTGTAGCACATGTTACAAGCATGATGTCACACACATGCATCGCAAGCACGACAACACACATGCACAATGAGCACCATGCCAGGTCATGCTGGGGTCAAAAGCATTGGACCTCCTGGTTTGCACCCCTTCAAAAATTGAGTCACAGCCCCCCAGCACACACACACCATGCTACACACGTTCAAAAACCATTATCATTAATTACTAGAGTTGGCATTACTGGTGGCTCAGTGCCCTCCCCAGGGTTCTTGGAAGCTACATGTCTGGTGGGAGAGTAGAGGTATCTTGCCTCTGATGCGCATGTCTATAAATGCACATGCGTGAAGACTAAAGCATCAGGTCTGTTTTGAAGTGACATATTGTCAGGCAATTACATTTCTCTCTCCCCAACCCCAATATATCTTTAACCAAAAGAACAAACACTCCCTTTCTGATGGGGGAATAGGTTATTGCAGAGTACATGAAAGCAGTATACAGTTGGCAGCACAAAGCCTCAAGCAGCATGAAAGAGTCTCATGCAGAGATCTCTGGTATGCGGATAGTGGTGTTATAAGGCTATAACTGTTTTCATCTGTGAGATGTTGGAGAATGGGTGTAAAAGAGATTAGACAGAGAGGCAGCAGGGCAGTGGGGTGATGGAGATGGAGAATTGCAATTCAGCAAGCTCTCTAAGTGAGAAGGGACTGAACCCACATCTCCTCGCTCTAAGTCCAGAATCCACTGTGCTTTCTTTAGGCATCATAAGAACTGTAATTCCATCACACTCAGAGAATGAACTATCCTAAATAGCTTCAAAGACACTTACGAAAAGCTTGGCCTATTGCTCAACATCCAAAAAACCAAAGTGCTGCACCAACAAGCACAAAATAACCCCTCTGCAGCACCACAAATTCAACTCAGTGGTGTAACATTGGGAAGTGTTGATCACTTCTCCTACCTGGGCAGTTATCTTTCCACAAGGGCCGACATTGATGCTGAAATCCAGCATTGCCTGAGCTCTGCAAGTGCAGTTTTCTCCCACTTGAAGTGCAGAGTGTTTGAGGACCAGGACATTCGCAGGGAATCAAAAATGCTTGTTTACAAAGTTATTGTACTACCAACGTTACTGTATGCTTGTGAAACATGGACCACTTATAAACGCCATCTCCAACTCCGTGAAAGATTTCATCAACGGTGTCTCCGAAAATTTTTACACATCACTTGGGAAGACAGGCGAACTAATGCCAGTGTACTGGAAGAAGCAAAGATCACCAGTGTCGAAGCAATGATTCTCCAACATCAACTTCGTTGGACTGGTCATGTTGTGTGGAAGCCTGATTATTGTCTTCCAAAGCAACTACTCCATTCTGAACTTAACAATGGTAAGCATAATGCTGGTGGTCAACAAAAGAGGTTTAAAGACTCTCTCAAGGCAAATCTTAAAAAAGTAGTATAAACACCGACAACTGGGAAACACTGGCCTGCGAGCGCTCCTATTGGAGAATAGCCTTTACCAAAGGTGCCATGGACTTTGAAGATGCTTGAACTCAGGACGCAAGGGAGAAATGAGCTAAGAGGAAGGCACACTTGGCAAACCCTCATTGTGATCAACTCCCTCCCAGAAACCAATGTCTCCACTGTGGAACGACGTGTGGATCCAGAATTGGCCTCCACAGTCACTTACGGACTCATTGTTAAAACCGTGTT